ACCCTCTTTATCTCGACGCTCACATGATTATTTAGATTTCCATGAACTGCGTTTTAAACTCTTTTAGTTATTTTTATTCTTAGTTGATTACTAAGAATTATATGGAATTCCTATTCGGAACTTCTTTAATTTTAAACTTTGAGTTACATTTCTGATAACAAGCCGCAAAATCATAGTTTGCGCTTGAGGTCTATTTAATACTTTAATCCGCCATTATATAAAGTTGTCTGCGTAAGATTGTTCAGAATGCATGTTTTCATAACTTTGATCCGTTACTTTTACAGATAGCCTCCGGTATAACTACGTATCTAGTGATCCTTCATAGCGCTAATATCTAGCGTAATCTCCGGGATACACCATTACGTTCGCGCGATCAATCGACCGATCGATCGATTTATCGTTCGACTGTTAATTCCAATCTCATCTGTTCTCACAGCTTTAATGGATCGCCGATGAATAACATGTTGAAAGAAAGATCTTTTTATAGAGCTTCATCTCTACAAAAAAGGTAAATAGATACAATGAGTTGATGTAACGTTTCTGTCACGTTTCGATTAGTCTTTGATATCAAACGCTACGAGCAACTTTGCGCAGGGGAGAACAAGTGTTTGCCTGTAACATAATACACTTGAAATTCGGCCCTTTTTGCATCGAGAGCACGTTGTCACAACGGCAACACGAGTCGCGATATGTCGTTTTGTTCATCGATTGGCCAGCAGTGGATGCTGAAAAAGCGCCAACCTCGCTTCTCTCCTGAGTCCAATGCAGTGGTGGTTAGTAATTTACTTCGAACAACGGCGATAATCGCGGGGGCTTCCTACATTCGCAAAAAAAAAACACTCGGCAACTCGAAGAATCCGCGTTCACGCGGATTAGGGCGGTACATGCAACTGTTTTTTTTTTCTTTTTTTTTTTTTTTTTTTTTTACTTTGAGAACTTTTATAAATTGCAAAACTCGGTGAGAAACCTAGTGAATACTCTTGAGACGTAATATTTGAAACGACGATGCGAGTACGTATTTAGTGCAATAAAAATTTTACTTACAAAGATTTCTGAACACATTTTCGCTTTCTGCGAGCTGATGCTTCCAATGGCATCGGCTTAGAGTAGGAAAGATTGAGGAGGACATTGAATTTATTTGTGGAAAGGAAGGATCGCACCCTCTTAGTGATGAATCTTACTGACAGCTGGAAAATATAACAATGTCCAATGGAAAATTCTAGACCGTCTTTCATTCGATATTACAGCGATATTATGTTGAAATCATGCGGTGCACAATATTTTAACAAACAAAATTAAATTTAGTTTTTATTTGAAATAACTAAAACACCACAAAAATAGTTTGCTAGAGTTGACATTATAAAACAAATTATGACATAATGCTAACGATATTTAAACTGATAATAAACAGAGCAAGAGAATTTCAATTTCAACTATTTATATTTATTGCGCTCATATTATACAGTATATTATACGCTATATTATTATTATTATTTTATATAGCATTTTCATATTCTTTACTTTCCATATTTTGAATAGACTGACATATGTTACGTTAGTACAAAAGATTTATATCGGTTTTCTATCAAGTTTTTTATTAAATAAAATTCGAAATCTGAATTGAAAAATTTCTTTTTAGATGAAAAAAAGTGTATTGAAGTTAATAACAATTTTGCTTTGATTTTGCTGTAACTTTATTTTCAACTTTATTTGGCAGATATGACTAAGCTTTTGTATGAACCTAATAATTGAAGAATGATCAAATCGTTTAATTTTTTTGATTGAGAAAGTAAAAAATTTGCAAACCATATAAAATAACATTTAAAAAATGCACTACATTTCTTGGATTTTGAATGGAGAGATTAAAATTAACAAATTTTTTTCCGAAATCGAAATTCTTACAAAACGTAAATTTTTTTAATGTACAGAATGTACATTTAAAAAATTCACAGAATGTATTGTGAATATACAGATAACAAACTGTGATTGCACAAGTTGACTCTTGTAGTAAAACATTTTTCCTTTTCGGTTGAATAACATATTATTTATTTATCAATAGCATTATTAATTGAATTCTTCTTTTGCTCTATCTCGAGTTAATTTCAATGTGGATTTTGTCATTTTGTCACAAAAGCTTTGATGAAAATTTTCCAAAGCGTTTGTGATTTCGACATATCTACAGAACTCGGTGCGCAGACTTCCATCCGGAGCTGCAGCGCGTGCGAAGGCGGACGAACGAAAGGACGCAAGCGCACCGTGTGATCGTCAACGTGCGCCTTTAAGACTGGCGGCGGGAGCCGTGATTCTTCCTGATCAGTTTGCCGTAGACCCGCATCCGCAACTTTTCGACCGCAAAACCGTGGTGGACGCTTCCTCGAATCCTCACGCAACGATCTCGTTCGAGAAATCGACAGCGATAGCGATACGTTTCCTGAACATGCATATCGCGAACCGATCGATGAGAACGTTACGAGCCTGTCGGTAGTGAAAAACTTATATGTGATTGTGACGATCGATCTCGATTCTTGACGATATGGTGATCCCACGACGTGCATCTCGCTTTGAAGAAAGTACTTTTAAGAGATGTGAAATTTTATATAACGAAAATTAATTTTGTTTGATTTATCTTTGGTTTCACGTCTGCAAGGAATAATTTCGGTGAGTTCAACTCTTGATACTATAAGATTTTTGTAATTGCTCGATATAAAAATGCGAAAATTGGCATATAATATAACATAAGAAAGCGCGCTTTATCGATATTAAACCAGTTGTGTCAATCTCCTGATTTGTATTAATTAGCGTTTCAAATCACGCAACAACATGTAATATTTGTGAAAAGATATTATCGATGATTGATCGAGTTTTTGACGATTTTTTTTTTATCCGTATACAATAGCATTAGTTGTCGATTTTTACTTGGACAGTTATTTGTTTCTGTCTCATAAATCCGGATTACCGGGATAAAAATCAATACTTCCACAATGATAAGAGAAAAAATTCTACAAATTTTAGAAATAATACGCAATATACGCGCCATCGTAGTAAAACAAGTAAAAAAAAAGATATAAAATTGATGTGCATTGTGTGCATTCTTTGATGGTAATTAATCATTCATCTTTTTATTTTTAGCAATACGTAGTATAGTTTTCCATAGAGAAATGTTTTTAACAATAAACCAGAGAATACTATAGGATGATTTACTGCAAATACTAGATTTCGCTGCAAATTCGCGATAAACAATTTTTTTCTCATTCTTAAGACTCAAATTTTTCTGAGATAGTAACTTCAATCTATCTATAAATTATCTTAACATTATACTGATGCTTTTTATCAATTCGAGTCCACGTCATTAAAAATTTAAATGAGAATTGGATATGTACACGCGATGTGTACTTTTATAATTAGCGTACATGAAAAATTAATCGATCTCTGATATACATACACACTCATAAATATAATCTTTTTATTATTAATTTATAATTAAGTGAATAAAGAAAAAGCGTAATTTCAAACAGCCACGTCAAAAACACAATCTTACACAATGATTTCCTAGTAGCGGAAGCAGCGGATTTATCGATGTATATTTATAAGCAGTCGAGAAAGGGCTGCTTTGCATTTGTATGAGGGGGCACGCATTTCTTTGCGATCTTATTAACGTTTTTCTGGCGATGTGACGTAAGTGAAACTCATAGCATAAGCCATATCTATACATTCGAGATTTTAATTTCAATTGCATTTATTCTCAATAGCGTCAATTCTCAATAGCATTGTACTATGTTATTGACGCATCAATAGCATCGCAAAGTTAATCTCGCAGCATGCATCTATTCGAGATTTATATCAAGAGTTGAGAAATTCATTTCGAGAAATCTCTCCCGAAGTCGACAAACATCAATCGTCGTCAAACCATCCTGACGTACGATCGTTCTTGATAAAAGCAGATAATCCGTTCTTGATTGACGTAAAAGATTTATCTCATTCCATCGCTTACCGTCATCATTTCATTCTACGAGGGGAAACAAAAGTTGTAATCGCTATGCGTTACGTACGTATCTACATATACGTATGTATCCTACGCCCGCATACCTCTCATTTGACGTACTTCGCGTACTTTGAAGAGCAATTGACGTTTCTTGTTGTTATATACGATGTAGCGCGATATCAGTTACGATTTAATTGAAGCGACGAAAACGTATGCTTGTTTCCGCGACGAAAGATAAGTGAAGCATATTATGCATTAATTACAGCTCGCAAGAGGTTCGAGCGATAACTCTGTAATCTCATCCGTGTCTGTGTGTTCGTATCTTCTATCATGTGACGGTTCTCTATCCGAGAAACGTCGAATAAATTATTAAAAAGAACGAACAAAAAGATTTTTGAGAGACAGATTTAAAAAAGATCTCAACGAGAATGGATCTCCCTGCTATAAAATATTAATCGAATCTAAATTCAAAGATTTTACTTGAAAGGCAGAAGTGTACGAATCATTGCGCACGAAAAAGAAAAAAAAAAAGATTAGTCTGAGTGAAATTATTCCGATTTTAAGCCGCGGTAAGAATCACTTGGATGTTTTCTGCGCAATTAAATTGCGTAGTTTACAGGAAAAAATGAAGAGAGGAGTAATGAAGTACAACCACGCTTTTATATATCGGACGATTTTTTCCTCGTTTATGCAGAGGCGACCCGGTTGCACCCCCAAGCGACAATTATAGTTCCGCGCAATCTCTGAACGCGCTCTTCTTCTCTTTGTTGATTCAAGACACAACTCGAGGATCGGGATATTTTGTATGCTCGTTGGAAGTCGCGTACTCTTTTCCACTCACGTAGCCGAGCGGTAAAATACATAGACCGGTGAGCTCTCCTTTCTGGTCCATCAGTGCTTTACTCCCGAGAGAGAAAAGATCGCAACGATGAGGGTGAATGCGATCGGTTTTACGTCGACGACAACGACATCGACATCGGAGGTGACCGCGACATCGAGAATCGAGGGCATGCAGAACAATGGAATACCCTCGTCGATCCCTTACAACGACAGTGTAATGGAAATGGACCTCATGACCGACATAATGTGGGATTTCTATGAAAAATTCAACGGGGACACTAACTACTTGCTGATCATCCTCTATGTGCCAGTTATGGCGCTCGCAGTGACGGCCAACATTCTTGTGATCACGGTGGTCTTCAAATATCATTACCTGAGAAGGTATGTATGTAGTTTTGTGTGTGTGTGTATGTACATCTGCAAAAGGAAAAGGGATAGAACCTCCTCTCTCTTTCTCTCTCTCTTGGTGATATAAATTCATCAGGTTTTAAAATGGAATATTTCTCTAAATAATGCTAAAATTAATAATGTAAAATCTCTAAATAATATAATTCTCTAGAACGGCAATATATATAATATCTAAATAAAAGAGAGCTTTCTTAATAATAATATTGTCTGCATATTTTATGCATTATTATGACATCTCTTAATGTAAAGTAATAGCGCTGCAATATTTTGAATGCTATTTTGCAAAACTAACTCCTCTATTCAGGTCTATACAGGACAATAATTTGAAACTTGCCAACGGCTTCAGAAAGAGAGAGAGAGAGAGGGAGAGAGAGAGAGAGAGATATCCTTCGGTTACCTGAATTTTGTGAAGTATTTCAGTAATGCGAGCGTTGTGTTTCTCAAGAGGGATGCCTCTAACTGAACATTAGATAAAGTTTGCAGTGTATATATTTATATATAATTTGGGTCAAGTTTATTACAGCTAAAAATTTGGATAAAAATGAAAGCTACTTTCTTTATAAAATTATTTTTTGTTTTCTTTATAATTCCATCTAGCAAGTTACATCATTGAACGCCAACACAATTATAGATTCTCTTTATATCTATTAGATATTATTTATAGATTTTGAAATATTTAAAAAGTGAACATTATAATCGTTATTAAAGAAATAAAATAAAAACAAGTATAAAAGTGGTGAAACGCCAACGCCTTAACTGCTTTATTAAAACAATACAACGCGAAGAAAACATTATGAAAAGCAATACAAAAAAACAATACGAAAGCAAATCACAATCTTTTCAAACGAATGAGCATATGTTTAAAGATATACAAATTTTATTTAAATAACATCGTAGTTGTTATTTAAAATCAAGGATGCTTCAAACGTAAGGATCTGACGTGATGGGCGTCTCGCAATACTTTAACATCTTATCAATTGTAGCATGTACATTCTACATCGTATTATGTGTACACGAAACATAAAGAAAGAAAGAAGAGAAAGAAAAAGCACGTCTCGCAATACTTTAACATCTTATCAATTATGTGTAGCATGTACATTCTACATCGTATTATGTGTACACGAAACATAAAGAAAGAAAGAAGAGAAAGAAAAAGCAGTAGCTACGATAGGGCAATATAAAAGAATGATAGTGAATACAGCAAGATACTTTAGTGATATAACGCATTGTTTATTACACACTTGAGACTAGATATGATTCAGAATTCGTTATATAGAATAATGTAGCATTCGAATCAAAGTTTACGATCAATATACTTCGAACATTGCTGTTGAAAGATATGTTAAAAAATAAAATTGTCGTATGTACTTGTTTGTACTTATCACTTGTATTTATATTTTTGAGAAAAATTGCACAACATTAATCTGCGAATTTAGATTCACGATCTTCAAAATCAGAAATTAGCTTCGAGATATCATAAAGATTGAAAATTTATAGAAGTTTGAAAAATAAAACATACTAACGATCTCTTTTCTTAATTTAGCAATTACAATATATTGTGTAGCAATTTTTTCGGTATACGTAACACACGCGATGAATAACAGCATTATCCGAGTAAATCAATCTTTTCCTTTTGATATTGACCCTCCCACTGATATTGTACTATTCTATCTATCATGCGCGCATCATTATTTTGTGCGGGATGTAGAAGGATACTCCTAATGAACTATCACATATATATTATGTAAACGTTACGTAATTTGTAGTTTGTTTAGGCGTATAACTAAATTCATGATTTCCGCATTTAAATACGTTTCATTTAGTTGCTTGTGTATAATATCTACTCAAATAATACCTATCTATAGCTTAGCAAAATCCATTGTAAATTTATAGCATTATACATGGGGAAAGATATATTTTGTCTTCCTGCGCTTACGAACGGTATTGCATAATATATGTATGCTCACATAGTCTGTCAACTCTATCTCTCCCTTTGTGTGATCTACTCTCTTGATACATTATATTTATCTCTCATATATTTTATAAAATGGTCAGTTATTTTAGTTATCTTTAAAACATTATCTCGCCGATCAATCACATAAAATTCACGTTTTTAATAATAATTTTTGTACTTTTATCTTTTATATTTAATTTTAGATAATCTTTTATTTTATGATTTTTTTATATTTATTTAATCGATTAACAAAACAATATCTTTTAAAACTTTATGAAATTTTTTACATGCCATAAATATTTGATGTTTAAATAAAATCTCTCTCTCTCTCTCTTTTCCTCCCTCCCCCCTCCCCTTTCTCTTTACTCCCAAGATATATAGAATCTTTCC